CTGGCTGCCTCCCCCTCGCGGTCACCACCGCCTCCTTCAATCTGCTGCTGAGCACTGAACACCTACAAGTCGCTCTCGCTGCCCTTTGAGACAAAACGACCCGTGATTAAGGTTTTCTATAAAAAAGCTCACCCACACTCATCCCAACTAGTGGTGGCTTTTATCACTTGCACTTGGGTTCTGAGATACGAAATTCGAGAGTATATAATGGGCACAAAGTGAAGCAAACCAAATGTTACAACAAAAATACCTGAATTGAAAATGCACACGTATAAAGCTGTACTTCTGTACTTCTCATTGGTTTGATCAATGGCACGAAATGAAGTGGACATCTTTTAATCTCATGAACAAAGTATGCAGCCTAGAACAGGAAAAGAGTGCAGCAGAAGTCCGCCTTGTGGCCGTCCAACTGGTGAAGGGCAAGGGCGCGCCGCCTGCGCCCTACGCGCTGCGACTGAGGCGGAGGGGCCCTAAGGGACCTCACAGGGGACGTCTCGCGCGACGTTCATTCCCTTGTTGCTTCTTTAAATCACTTTAAAATTCTACATAAACATTATCTAACTAAACGCATAGAAAAGTAAAATTCAAACCTTTCCACTGATAGGTGGAAATGAAAATAATTACGTTTGTTACTAAAAAGGGTCTGATTCAGAACAGCAGATGAAGGGAGAGAAAAAAAGAAAAATTAGCGTCTGTTCTGCGTGCACTAATGGAAGGACGTCACAATAATACCTCATGTATGTATACCTCATGCGCCTCGATTCTCGATCACAACTCAGAATCGATTCGTGAGATTAGACTGTTTGAATTCGGTAGGTAAATTTCTTTCAATGTGTTTTAATTACACCGTAGTACGAATCCAGGTCTTTATGGCTTTAAATAATTATAAAAGTGAAGATGAACTACACTTTGAATATTATTTTTAAAAGTTAAGTTTCATCCTGCATCTTCGTTTCTGTTTTAGCTCTTAGGTTTAGATTTGTAATACTAGATAAAACGAACATAATTATGAGTTATTAATGAAACATAATATGCATATAAAATAACGCTTAGATAGAAAGTTAGTTTACAAAAAATAAGTTTCGCTTAGATACAAAGCGTCACGAGAGCTTTTAAAATTGTAGATAATTAATTTTCACATCAAATCAGGTTGTTACAATTTCAATAATGTGTAACATAGGTTATCTAACAGCCATTCAGGCGGTAACACATATTTCCAAAAAAAATAATTATAAACAAAACTAACTCACATTCTCAGAAACGAACAGCATATCAACGGAATGAATCTGCACAGACGTGTGACGTGCCCCTACCTGAAAAATACACAAAAGGAAGGATTTAGACCATCAAAAGGAGACGACAGATATGATGAAATAATATAATTTTTTTACATAACAGGGCAGATTATCAAGAAGATATACGTTTAAACACAGATAAAAGTTTGTTACATTTTATAGCTAGTATCGCATTTGCACAATGCCAACTTTGTATACGGGTTTACTTGACATCATGCTATATTTACTTTTACATCAAGCGTATTCTGCATTTATGTTGTATGCACTTTGAGTATCTACTTTACATTTGCTATCTAATACTTTGAATTTATTCATTTCAAGGATTTCTGCTTTGTCTACAAAGTATCTTCGTCATAAGTTGGCAAACAATCAACTCTTTCCAAAAATACAACTAGTCGCCATATAACAACAGTTGATAAACACTTTAAAGTCATATTGAAGGTTACGGATCAGAAATCAGCAGTTAATTTTCATGTAAGAGCGTAGGCTTCCGCGGCCGGAGTCAGTATTTACTAGGCTGTCCGGGTGACGCCCTGAGGAAGGTCGCAGAATGGCGACCGAAACGCCGGCACCTTCGCTATGGACGCGGCGTCACCCGGACAGCCTAGTAATAATAAATTTTCATGTAACTGAATTAGTATATGCACCTTAAATATTACTTTTACTTCTTCCGTTTCACGCAGTTATGAAATAATGATTATTGTTATCAATACCATCTGATACATACGATGGTTATTTTCATAAACAGCAACAAACGAGACTAGATTTACCAATGATACAATTTGATTATCAGATATGACCATTTTTACAATCCAACAAGCACACTTTAATATCGGTCAAGATTTTCATGGAAGAAATTCGTACTGCTTACGTTTCTGAGATGACCAGTAGGTTTCAATGTGGCTGATATTATTGTACCAATCAAATATATAGCAGATATGTAGTATCAAACAATGTTTTCGTACTTTCTCTCTTTCATTGACTAATGAGAAATTGGTTTAATATAACATTTATATATCACAAAGCACACTTAGTATATAATTCTAATCACACGTACTTCTCGAAATACTGTTTCCTAAAATACAATTCAATTATAAAAGAGTGAATTTTCGCATGATCGTCCACCATAACTAATTATTCAAATTTAATTTCTTTACTTGAGAAATTGATATAAGATATGCTAGTATTTACGTTGCAGCTACGTTGAAGTTTTTAAGATGGCTACGGTGACCCAACGTGCGCCTCAAATATTATTTGCATTTTCCTTCTATTTCAGGGATAAATGTATCAGAGAATAGTTCAGCAAAACAATATAAAGCACAAATAAAAATTCGTTCAACGATGTTTGGTCACTGCAGCGCTAATGTAATTGATATGGATGACGATAACTAAAATAACACGAATAGGCGTACATATTTTAGTAAATATATCTGAAAATCGTGTCTCAGGGACAAATTCATACAAAAATATCTTGTATCTCAATGAGCATGTTTCTGAATACGATCTGAAGTTCAAGTACTCCCAGCAGGCTGCTTAACGAAATTGGGGTCGGGTCTTCTGGAACAGAAGACTGTCGGACAACTACGCGTCTACGTTCAATTGATTGTCGCAGTTTTCACTGTTGCTATCCGAAGGAAACGTGAGCTCGTCGCTTCATGTTTCATCATATTACGCTGCAGACGATAACAAACTGCGTGATGCCTATCTTGCTTGTCCGTTCTTCCTCATTTCCGCTTTGGGGCTTCCGCATCCTGCCTCATTAGCGCCGCCCGCAGGTGGTCTCTGTCTGTGGAGGAGGAGAGTCTTTGCGGAGTGGCCTTCGGCGCCGTTAGCGGCAGATAAGGAGCGGAAGAGGCAGCGGAGCGCCTGTGGTGTGTGGTTAAGTTGTCAGCTGATAGACGACGCATCCTCACGCACACGACTTACACACTTGGCCACTCTCCGCCATCGCCCTGACTCTCACCCCTCATCCCTACACCATCAACGCTATCCTCCTTCGGCTCAGTTTTTATTCATTGTATCTTGTAGTTGTCTAAATTCTCATTTCTGACATTTTGTTATAGAAATGTTTGGAAAAAAATTAGAAAAGACGTGACATTTTTCATCCTCCTCCATTAGGTGGTCGTTCAGATGACATCTTACTCCCTATAACGAGCACATCATTGTACACACGTCTGAATGATGTGGAAATGTAGCGCACTATCGCATGAGAATTTGAGTGGTTGGTATACAATCCATCATAAAACATGTTTCTTATCGAACATAGCACTACTAAACGCAAAGATGCGATTTTGGTAACATGCACGACTCATTCATATTCTCGCCAACTCGTCATTTTTCATTTTAAGTGCGCCATCCAACGCCGGGAACTGAAGGATTATCAAAAAACGGAGTCACGCTGCAATAAAGTAGCTACATTAAGATACATTCAAGATAATTTCTTATCGCAAACAATTCTCGCCTTTTTCACCACATTTCGTCGTCAAATTCAAACTTATTATTCGGATGGCAATAAGTGTTCGACAATTTCATTCTTGCACTTTTTCATAAATCAAAAGTGTAGGATTTGTCACGTTTGATCACATTTTCCAGTCTTGAAGTTATGAGTATGTTTGCTTTATTATCGGATAGTCGGTATTTCGGTATCTTGTTATTTATTGAGATAAATTGTTGTTAAAAAGGAAATTAATTTCAGGGAAAACGTTTATTAAATCGTCAGTTATTGTTAGTATACAATTTGTCTCCGAAATCTTTTCCTAAACCTAAGAGATAAAAATAACTATGTATTATACTCGAGGATGATGTGATGTCGTCGCATATATTAGACTTATTACATTAAAAAAAACTTTTGCTGGTGTCAAATGATACTCTCGTAAGTAATGTCTAACACACATATGACGAATCGTCTTTGCTAAATTATTTGAAGCAGAAGCCATTATGTACGTTCTAGGCTTCTACACCACTAAAGTTTCTTGGAGATGAGGAAGACCACTAGGGACTTTTAAATTAACGTAAGAAGGTATTTTAAATGAAAGGACAAACGTTGGGCTGTGAACAAAATTAAATCTGTAATACTGAAGGGTTAAAACGAAATATATTGAAAAGGCCTGGTAGAGAACGATGCATAAAAATTCCTTAATCTCATAGATTCATCGCCGACTGATGCGTTGGAGGAGAGTGCTACAGAGAAAGAGGGAGAAAGTAGAAATAGAGAAAAAGGGGGAAAGGGAGGGAGAAAGAGATGGGAAACAAGAGAGAGAAACAGAGAAAGAGAGGGTGAAAGAGACAAAGAGAGGAAGAGAGATAAAGAGACAAAGACAAAAAGAGAGAAAGAGAGGGAGAAAGAGAAAGGGAGATGGAGAGAGAGAGAGAGAGAGAGAGAGAGAGAGAGAGAGAGAGCGCTAACATCACTTGTGCGGATCTTCCGCGCTCTGCGAGCAGAGAGTGTTGCTCCTCGGCCCCGTCTGCGCCATCCTGCAGCCCAAATCCACGTGACCTGACCCCCTGCCTCTGCTGGACCTCTCACCTCGTCACTTCTCTCCCAATTACATCGTTCCCATCTATCACCTCGTCACTCCCTCTGCACACAATTCCATCCCATACCACACGCGGTCGTCCGCCAGCAATTCTCCGGAATGGCACTGCCCCAGCTGGGATAACCTACAAGCCCCCATTGGGAGGCACGTGCGTGGAAGAGAGAGTATGTGCGAGTAAGTGGAGAGTGAGTAAAGAGAGAGAGGAGAAGGCAAAAGTCCGCGCGCGATCTTAGGTCTGTTTGTTATTATACTGCGACGGCATTTATCTGGAATTAATGGGGAACGCATGACAAACTCCTATTTACAGCAGCCAGCAGAACGAATTCTCTCTCCGACAGCAGCTGGATTCGATTTAGATATGTAGCTCGTGTAGAAAATCGGCCACTGTAAGGATTCGAACGTCAGGTCGCAGCACTGAAGCGCCAAGAGTTTTCTTCGCAATGAGCCAATTTTGACGGTCATTCCCCCAGAAATTGCACCCTCCGCTAGCGAATGCACCGAGACGAAAAAATAATCCCTCTGATATTAGACTCGAAATCTTGACATTAACACCCTGCTCCTCGTTCATCCCCACACCAGTATTCCTCAACGTACCAACCAAAATCTTTGAGATGACCACGGTGTTTCACCATATACTCGCTACTGAAACGACATCCTTCTTAAAGTATACACAGTGCGAAAAGACATTCGTCATAAAACCAATCAAACGCCAATTGAGATAACTACAATCCGTCCTCCTGCAATCCCTGTAACGGCTATCTTTTATTTACAAAACTACTGTGCGAAACGTCGTATTCCTCAACGTAAAAACAGAAGCCTTTGTGATAAGTATGGTGTCACTTCCTGTACATGATACTAAAAAGATCTGTTTAAGTATCTGCGATGCCTCTTCCTGTACTTGCTACCGCGACGATCTTATTATGTTTAGGTATCTACGGTGAGTGAATTGATATTCGGCAAGTTAGCTACTGAAGGCTATTAAGATTACTGTGGTGTCTTCTCCCCACCATGCTTCTTTTACGTTATTATATTTAGGTATCTACGGTGCGTGAATAGTTATTTGGCAAGTTAGCTACTGAAGGCTATTAAGATCACTGTGGTGTCTTCTCCACTCCATGCTTCTTTTACGTTATTATATTTAGGTATCTACGGTGCGTGAATAGTTATTTGGCAAGTTAGTTACTGAATGCTATTAAGATCACTGTGGTGTCTTCTCCCCTCCATGCTTCTTTTACGTTATTATTTTATTTAGGTATCTACGGTGTGTGAATTGTTATTCGACAAGTTAGCCACTGAAGGCTATTAAGATCACTGTGGTGTCTTCTCCCCACCATGCTTCTTTTACGTTATTATTTTATTTAGGTATATACGGAGCGTGAATTGATATTCGGCAAGTTAGCTACTGAAGGCTATTAAGATCACTGTGGTGTCTTTTCTTACGGGGATGTCATTGTATTTGGGTATCTACGGTGCGTAAATCCA